AAAACATTAAAGCCGATAGATAGAGCAGTCCCCAAAGTCTGTTTCTTTCTGTCTGACTAAAGTTTGAGTAGAATCCCTTTTACTTTTGTTGTTTGGGGATGCAATTCTAAAGTGTGTCTGATGAGGCATGGCTCAACTAAATCTTCAAAATAAGATTCCCAGTCAGTCTATTCCCCAGGTAACTTGAGTTTTCTCCAGTCGCTATGGATCCATACCCACTCGACAGCACTTGACAACAACAACAACAACAACAAAGTATGAGTACTTTAAACAGCTCACTTAAGTTCTCATAGATAATAAATACAATAGCCAGGATTTAAATCCAGACAGTGTAGCTCTAGATCCTGAATTCTTAAGATCTAGAATTCCTATGGCTACCATAAAGATAGAATTAAAGTATTTATGCAAAGCATAAACAGAAGTGCTTGGATATGGTGCTGAACCAATAGCTTCAGTCTCCTCTAGGAGCATGTTCGTTGTGATTGTTGTTCTTTGGTGGTGTTGAGACAGTTCCGACTCATAGTGACCCTGTTCACAACAGAACAAGACACTGCCTGGTCCTGTACCATCCTCACAATTGGTGTTAGGTTTGAGTCCATTGCTGCGGCTACTATGCCAGTCCATCTTGTTGAGGGTTTTCCTCATTTTCACTGACCTTTCACTTTGCAGAATCCCTTCTCCAGGGACCGGTCCATCCTGACAACATGTGCAAAGTACAATAGAAAAAATCTCACCATTTTGCTTCTGAGAAGCAATCTAACCTTACTTCTTCCAAAACAGATTTGTTTGTTCTTCCAGCAGTCTGTGGACTTTTAGCTAAATGCATGGATTCTTTTCCAGTCATCCTTATGCATTGGCCAGCTTTCACATGCATATGAGATGATTGAAAATACCCTGGCTAGACACAACTTTGTCCTTAAAGTGACATCTTTGCTCTTTAACACTTTTTAAGGAAGTCTTTTGCAGCAGATTTGCCTAATAATGCAATACATCATTTGATTTATTTGACTGATGCATCTAGGATCATTGATTAGGGCTTCAAATCTTTGATGATTTTGATCTTTTGTTGTGGTTAAGTGGTGTTGAGTCAGTTCAGACTCATAGCAACTTTATATAGGGTTTCCAAGGAGCAACTGGTTGCTTTGAACCACCAACCTTGGGGTTAACAATACAGTGCTTATCCTACAGAGCCA